GAGATAGGAAGAGAACTCCGCTACCATAACTAGTCAGTTTTCATGAGGTTCGGCTGCATTTAGAACAGGAATCAATGCAAATGGAAGGAGAGATGAAATAGCAACACAAACACGAGTAGGAATTGCTGAAGAAGTGAGCTGACCCAAGAGGGTTTAGCATCTATGAGGACTTACCTGGCTTCAGCTTCATCAGATGTGCAGCTCCTGAATAGTCCACTGGGGGCAGCATGCATGGACTGGAGCAGAGCGGCCCTGCAGGAGCCTTGATGAACACACAGACATGTCCGTTACCCTCACCTGTTGATTCTAACAGAAACGAATCCTTGAGGATGTTGGTGAGAGGGTTTGAAAGCATGGCAGACCTCCTGGAGATGCAGCAGAGCCAGCACTGCCTCCAGGCTGGCCAGCTCGGCCTGGCTCCGCTGAGCCTCCCTCTGGCTCTGGGCCACCTGCTGCTCCTGGTCACGGGTCAGAACCCGCAGCTGCTCAGCCTCCCTGCGCAGGGACGCCACCTCCCTGGCCTCTACGCCTTGTTCTGAGAGCTGCTGCTCCAGCTGGGAGGCTCTGTGCCCCGTCTGATCCACCTGGGCTTGGAGATGAGCAGCAGCAGCCTGGGTCTGTCTCAGCTCCTCCTGCAACCGACTGGATGGAGCAGAAAAACAAAGCATGCTGCAGATTCATGGAGTGAATGTGGTTCTAACATCAGTTTCTCTCAAAACCTTTTTCTGATCAGAACAGCGGAGGAAGGAAGGAGGGATAACGTGAAACATAACTGAACACGGATACAATATGTAGTGAAAAGAAATTAAAACCCTTTTTTAATTTCTCTATGGCAGACTGTTAGTACCCAACAGTGTGGTTCTGCTCTGCTTTCTCTCGTTCCAACACAGAAAACTTCCTCTCCAGTTCCTCCTTCTCCCTGTCAGACTCAGTCAGACTCTCCTTCAGTTTGGTCTCGCTCTCCATCGCCTTAAAGACACAAAAATAAAAACATTTTACAGCCTCAACGGTTAACTTTGGCTTTTAATTAAATGGTTCTGATGCTTCTACCTTTTGGAGTTTAACAGAAACCGTGTTTCTGTAATCTTTGAAAGCTTCTTTGAGTTTCTCTGCATTTTGAAGCGCTTGGTTCCTCTGCTGCTCAGCCCTGCGATGGGAGGATGAAACACGGCGTCAGAGCTCCGCGTCGGGACGGAAACCTGTGGCTGCGTGTGAAATCCTCGCCTCTTTCCCATCGTTGTTCTGCTGTCCAGTTCCTCCCTCAGCATCCTCAGCTCCTCGGTCAGAGCGGCGACCGCGGCTTCGCTGCAAGCTGCAGCTTCCTGACAACATTCGGCCCTCAGCTCCGCTGCCCTACGAATCACACAGCACGCCAGATAAATACAGTAAATACTGAGGAGTCCTTTTGGTAGCTCGCCTATAGAGAGTTAGGAAAACTTTTATTTATCAGGCAGACACCCTGTCTACTTTTAAGGCTAGGCTTAAAACTTTCCTTCCTGATAAAGCTT